AGGCAAACCATCTGGCCCACGAGATGCACTTCACCACATTGTGGGCATGCTCGCCGACGGCCTCCCTGAGCGGGGGCTGGAGGTGGCAGGATGACGTGCGGCGGCTCCGTAGGCATCTTGTTCGCAGGTCGCGTGACATGCTCTGCACTTGATGCAACGGCCTCTTCCACCTCTACTGCTGCCTCCACCTTGATGTCGACGAGAGCCATGGGTGCATCTGGCTCGGCCGTGTGGTGCTCTGCCGCATCCGGCTCAGGCTCCGGGAAGTCATACTGCGGCGATTCCTCCTTTGGCTCAGGAGGTGTGATTGTTCCAATGCCAGCCCCATCATCCTCTCCCAACAAGGCCGTCTCTTCTGGGAGAACATCGGCAGCTGTTGTATCGAGGATCGCAGGCATTGGAGCGTCCGAAGTGTCGGGTACTTCTTCTTCTTGCTCATATCCGTGGCCTCCACTAAGTGGGGCTGGATCTTCATCAGCGTCCATGGTCGCGGCTTCGGCCTCCGGCTCGTGCACNNCCTCCGGCTCGGCCGGTTCGGGGAAGGTGAAGAGGTCTGCTGGCTCGTCGTCGTCTTCCATTGTGGTCTCGCCAGCGATCTCCACAATGATCTCGACGTCTTCATCACCAGGAGACGGCCGCGTCCAAAGTGTCTCATTTGTTCGAGCGTCCCTGACGTAGAGCACACACTCTCCAGGGACTCGCTCCTTGCACAAGACACCTTCGGATTCTGTCTCGAACAAGTATGCGTGCTTGAGCACTTCGATTGTGTCGAAGACCAATTCCACATCAAGGTTGGCTCGTACGCCGGCTTTGTTTCCAAGTTCAGCCAAAGTCGCCTTCGCGAAGTAGCAATGGTACTTTCCTGAATTGCGAAAGCCCGGCACTAGCCCGTCCTCGAGGATGCGGAACGCCGCGTCATGGGTGGTGCGGTGATAAAGCCTGTTGGGGAAGTCCGCATCGCCTCGACAAAGGAATGGCCTGCCTTTGTAGGCGGCTGGAATCCTGTCGATGCCCCGCCTTCTGGGATCGAGCCACATCGTAGCGATAGAGGCATCGTCGATCTCACTTTGAATGCGGGCGCTATGGCCATGACTTGCGGACACCCAGATCGGCCACACACCGGCGTCCATGAACTCACCGCGGGGATCCTCAGAGTGGCCGGCGATGAGGAACCTGCACTTGTTGTCGTACGCCACCACAGCTTGGAACATTCGGTGGCCGATCTCAACATTGTGCTTGCGTTTCAAAAGAAACAGAAGTTCCTCTACCCTGATCCACTTCCCCATCCTGCTTCTGCACTCCATGATCGAGCCCCTTACCACCCCAATCATCCATTTTGCCACCTTGTCAACATAGCGCGGCGGCTTCAGGATGTAATCCATNNNACTTTCTCGTGCTCTGGGTTGTCACCCGCTTGCCTGGAGAACTCACTGTCGCTTACTCCAAGCATTTCATTGAGGTCGTTATCGTCCGAAACCTTGTACCCCACGAGGTCATTGGGATTGACATGCGACCTTCGGCCACCGCTGGGCGGGGCTGTAGATGAGCTTGCCTCCTCCGTAGCTGGCTCGGCCTTGCGAGCGGCCTTGGTTGCCGAGAATGTCCGGCTGGCCTCGGTTCTGTACGGGATGGCGTCGATCACCTCATCGAAGGATGCAGTCACCATTGGCGGGGTCAAGGCAGAGGAGGATGCGGCCACAGCTGATGCTGGGCGGGATTGGCCAGCGGCGTATCCAGCCTGTCGCGACTCAATGCCACGCTGGACTCCGAAGTGCCAGTCCCGCAGCTCTGCCGGAACATCCATCTCCTTCATACCTGTAACAGGCTCCTCCGGCTCGGGAATCCATGACTGTTCCCAAGAGTCTGGGCACTGTTCACGCGCCTCCTTCATCTCGGCCTGCCTTTTCAGGCGGCGGGACATCTGCTGGCTCTGAAGGGTGCGGCTGAAGATGTGGCGCATCAGGAACTTGCGTCAAACGGGTACTCAGCCATGAGCCGCAGATAGTCCTCCTCGGGAAGCTGCGCGAAGGTGCACTCGACCTGAACCAACCGGATCCTGTTGACGAGGATGTTGGTGAGGGCGGAACGATAAGTGCTGTCTTCGCGGAAGTGGTAGCCATCGTATTTGGGAATCTCGGCGACAGCAGTCTCGATACTCCCCGTATGGATCCCCCGACCGCGTGCATAGGAGAAGAACATGCGGATAGCCTCCCTGTATTCAAGCGGGAGGTTATAATCGATGGGCGCCGCGTCTCCCAGGATTTGCACAGAGTTGACACACGGCCTGCCTTTCAAGGCGGCTAGACGTCCGATTTCCCCGCATACCCGGGAAGCGATGTCGGACCAGATGCCAAGGGCACTGGCGTTTTCGACAGTCTGCCTCCACGACGGCAAATTGGGATCCACGAACACCCCTCGTGCGCCGACTAGATCGTTCGCCATCCATACCACGCAGATATCCACGTGGAGGTCCATGGGTCTCTCGCTGGCATCGATCACCTCTCGCAAGAGTTCGTGGACCTTATCCACAATGGGGCCAAGGGAAGCCCCCCAAATGGGGCAATATTTGATCTGCTTGTAATGTTGAAGCAGCGGCCCCTTCTGCCTGTCTTCCAGGTCTTTCGCCAAGTCAGTCCACGTTCTCTTG